AAGGGGGGGATAAACAAATGGAAACAAACATCAAACAGCCTCTCTGAACATCTAATGGCCAAGCGCTCGTCTTCCTGGGTGATAGTGACTGCCAATTATCTTTTAAATTTTGTTGGTTTCTCAAGACAGGTTTTCTCTGTGTGGTCCTGGCTGTCCTGGAACTCACTCTGTAGACCAGGCTGCCTGAAACTCAGAGATCTTCCTGCTTCTGCCTCCCAAGAGCTGGGATTAAAATCGTGTGCCACCATCTCCTGGCTCTATTTCAGTTATTAATTTATTGTGTGTGTCTGCACAGACATGCATGTGCCCTGGCACCCGCAGGAAGGGCAGAGGACAATTTGCAGGAATTGTGTGGTGACTATTCTTGGTTGTCAACTTGACTACATCCGGAATCATCTTAACCCCAAAATAGGGCACACCTGTGAGGGATTTTAAATTATGAGTGTGTGTGTGTGTGTGCACAGGGGTGCAGGTGTCCACAGAGGCCAGAGTTCCCGGAAGCTCACTGTGAGTCGCCTGATGTGGATGCTGGGAGTCAAACTGAGAGCTTCTGGAAGAGTAATCTGTGCTCTCAATCACCGAGCCACCCCTCCTGCCTCTAATTATGCATTCTCACACTGTTTCCGACAAATAAAACAAGTCACTCCTTACCCAGGACAAGAGGGGAAGTCAGGCCAACTTTCCCTCCCATACCCCCCTCAAGACCCTTGAAAACATGGGTTGCGAATGGCTCAGTGGAAAACTGCTTGCTGAACAGGTGGGACAGGAGTTCACATCCCCAGAACCCAAATGAATAAGCCAGCAGGCCTGGCAGTAGCCTGTAATCCCGGTGCTCAGGAGGCAGAGACAGAGGAACCCAGGACAGCCTGGTTAGCCAGACTAGTTGAATCATTGAACTCTGGGATCAATTGAGAGTGCCTGTCTCAATGAATAAAGTGGAGAGTGATTGAGGCAGATGTCTGATATCAGTTTCCGTCTGCGCGCGCGCGTGTGCATACACACACACACACACACACTTCTGCACTACACATATGCATACCACACAACACACACACATGGGGAAAAGAAGACACTTGTAAAGCAGAGAGGACATCAAAGATCCCCCTTTTCAAGTTTGAACTTGGGAAAGAAAATCTAATTCACCCACATACTGACCCACTTCCCAAACTCGTTTGGGAGCTGAGGAACTGAAGAGACCCTTGTTAGTCCCCAGTAGTTACTCCAGGTGAGGTTGACTGCTCAGACCCAGGTTTCAGGGACACCACCGAGTTCTTCGGTGCCTCACAGGAAGGGTCTGCGGCACTGTCAACCTCCACTCCAAAGAAGGCCTTCTGGTGACATCTTGTGAGAAGGACAGAAACTGCAGCTCACACTCCTGAAAAGCCAGCCGCTGTCCCTAGTCTCTGGTCTGAGAAACAGCCAGGCTTTGGACTCCACCCAAAGATAGACTGGATCTGACAACAGAAGACAACTCAGAAAAGGGAGGAAGCAGCCAAGATGGGGAGAACGACCCTTCCCAAAGCCAGCTCTAAGATGTCAGAGCAGTCAAAGAGGTGTCTGCCCCATAAGAGACAGGAAGGAAGCCTTTGGCTAACGTGCTGACCCTTCCAGCCTATACCAGGCATAGATCCCAAGCAGCTCCACGAAATGAGGTCACAAGGCTTGACAGGTGTGGGAGCTCTTGCCTGTAATCCCAGGACTCTAGCAGTTGGGAGGTGGAGGCAGTAGGATTTCAAGCTCATGGCTAGCCTGGGCTACATGATGGGATTCTGTTTAAACAACATAAACCCATAAGACATCTTTCAGGGCTGGAGAAATAGCTCAGTGGTTAAGGACACTTGCTGCTCTTCCAGAGGACCTGGGTTCAGCTCTAGCACCTACATAGTGGCTCACAACCACTGCCATGTTCCAATTCCAGGAGCTATGACACCCTCTTCTGACCTCAGGCACACACAAGTGCAGACATATGTGTGGGCAAAACACTCAGTCTCATGTATACAAATAATTAAGGTAAAGGTCAATTTTACACTCTGTAGAACTGGGGATGGTTGGCAGGTGGATGTGACATGCCTGGACAATCTAGTGACCACTGGCTTGTGCCCACTGGGGCAGCTTCTGTGCAGGCCTCTCAGCAGCAACAGGGATGGGAACTCCATTCTGTCACCTGTAGTAGCCTGAGGAATTTCTTTAAAACTCTTTTTATTTCCTTTTATTTTAAAATAAAGATTTAAAGCTGGAGAGATAGCTCAGAGGTTAAGAGCACTGACTGCTCTTCCAGAGGTCATGAGTTCAATTCCCAGTAACTACACAGTGGCTCACAACCATCTGTAATGAGATCTGGTGCCCTCTTCTGGCATATAGGCAAACATGCAGGCAGAACACTGTATACATAATAAAAGAAATCTTTTTAAAAATAAAAAATGTTTTAATGTTTTGTATATGAGTGTTTTGTCTGCATGTGATCTGTGCACTGCAGTGCTTGCAGGGATCAGTAGAGGGCTTCGGATTCTCCAGAACTGGAGTTTCAGATGGTTGTGAGCTGAGTGTGTGATGGATGTGGGTGCTGGGAATCGAACTTGAATTCTCAGAAGAGCAGGAAGTGTTCAGCAAGCACCGAGTCGTCAAGTTTTCTTTAAATTTTTAAAAATCTTTTAGGGAACCTTGATTCAGGTAAAGTAGAATCCTTGGTTTCAATGCAGAAAAGAATTTCAGGACGAGTTATCAAAATAGCAGGATGGGCTGTAGCTTACTTGGTAGCATGTTCACCAACCATCGGTGAAGCCCTAGGTTCCATCACCAGCACCTTAGAGACTGGTAGAGTGATAAACGCCTGTGAGTCTAGTACCTGGAAAGTGGAGGCAGGAGGATCAGGGGCTCAAGACCTCCCTTGAGGTGAGCCGTGGATACTTAGGATGTTGTTTCAAAGAAACGATCTGGGTGTAGTGACTCACACCTTTAGTCTCAGCCTTTGGGAGGAAGAGGCAGGTGGATCTCTGTGAGTTCAGAGGTCACACGTCTATCAGGCTAGATAATGAGACACTCTCAAAACAACAAAGAGGAAAAAAGAAGTCACCAAAGTAAATAATAAACCACACATCAGAGTATAGGTGTGGGCTCCTTAATTTTGTTCTTGTTTTTTTTTTTTTTTTTTTTTTTTTTTTTTTTTTTTTTTGACAGGCTTTCTCTATGTAACAGTCCTCGCTGTCCTGGAACTTGCTTTGTAGACCAAACTGGTCTCCAACTCAGAGATCCGCCTGCCTCTGGGTCCCAAATGCTGGGATTAAAGGTGTGTGTCACCATGGCTGGCTGGCCTAATTTTTTAAGTTTTATATTTATTTTTATATGTATACTTGGCTTGCCTTCATATATGCTCACCATGTATGTACCTGGTGCCTACAGGGGTCAGGAGAGTAAGTATTGGATCCTCTGGGACTGGAGTTACAAGACAGTTATGAGCCACCACGTGGGTGCTGGGAATGGAACCTGGGTTCTCTTAAACTCTCTCCAGCCAGCTCAACTCTCTAGCCCATGGGTGTGAGCTTTTTAAAGATCAGTGGTTAAGTGTCTTCAATGGTGGCTGCATGTAGGATTTTGGTAGCTTTTGGAATTTTGTTACCTAACGGATTGTTAGGGGACACCCCTTCCTCTATCTCTGCTCCCTTTCCTATAACTGAAATCACAGGGTGGTTCTAGGAGTGCCTTGGATGGGGATATAATCTTTTAAAAGGGATTTTTAAAAAATTTATGTGTTTCAGTGTGGACATGTGGTACAGGTACTGATGGAGACCAGAAGAGGGCATCAGAACCCCCCCACCCTCACCCCGAGGTAGAGTACCAGTCTGTTAGCTGCCAGACATGGGTGCTGGGAACTGAACTCTGGTCCTCTTTGGGAGCAGCGAGCTGAGAAAAGCAAGGCCTTAAGCAGTTATTAATTACATTAGAATTCTTGTTTCTCAGCTGGTTAAGTTTTCACTCTTGTGTTTGCAGGTTCTTTACATTTTCTTGTCAATTTTCTCCATTTTTCAGTCTGACTTCAGCCCCACTTCCTGTGCCTCTGGGAGTGTTCTGAGGGTGCCCAAGGCCATGCTGGTACTCACTGAATGACACACAGGGATGCCAATGCACCTGTTCATCCCAGCATTGTTCATACAGCATGATGCTAACTACCTGGGGCAGGTATGAAAACAGACCCTTACTACCCACTCAAGGTGGCTGGGCAGGGACCAGGACACCAACACATGGCTTAACAGCAAGTCTTATGGATACAAAGCTCCTCCCTCCACCTAGTGTTCCCCAAAAGCCTCTGCCCATAGCACCCCAGCAGCTGAGGACAGAGAATCCTAATCTGTACTAGAGTAGAGGGACAAGCTGCTAAGTCCCTGCTTTAAAAGAGCACACAGGGCCGGGAAGATGTTCAGAGGGCAAAGTGATTGCCACACAAGTGTGAGGACCAGCGTTCAAGCCCCCAGATCTTAAGAAAGAAGGGTCAGGTGGGCATGGCAGCTTTCCAGTAGTCCCAGCATGCAAGAGGCGAACACAGGGATTCCTGGAGCTGGCTGGCAGCTAGACCAGAGGAACCGCAAGCACTGGGTGCAGAGTCTCTTGCCTCAGGCTATAAGGTGGAGAGCAACCAAGGAAGACATCCACAGGCCTCCACATTTGTGCATGCTTGTGTTCTGACATGTGCAAACAAACACATCTGAACTCCACGTATGCATGTGTGTGCGCGTGAACGCGCGCGCGCACACACACACACACAATGCAGACTTTGAAAATAAGTATCCACACTTCCTAAGAAAACACATTCTGGCCTCTGGAAGCACCAGGCACATACTCAGTACAAAGACAGAACACACACATAGAAAAGTAAACAAGCTGAGGGTGATGGCGCCTCTGTTAATTCCAGGTGGAGGCAGGAGCTCTGTGAGTTCAAGGTCAGACTGGTCTAGAGATCACTATTTAGAGAGACTCTGTCTAAAAATAAATAAAAAACAAACAGGTGAAATAAACTATTTTATTTACCGTTAAACATAAAATACTTTAACATATAAACAATGTCTTACATTTGATATAGTCCTCAAAGTCTGGTGATTTTGTTTTGCTTCCTTTGCCTCAGACACAACAGGCAGGTGCTCTACTAAAAACCATTCCCCAGACTTGAGGGGTGCTAGGCAGGTGCTCTCCTATGGAATCATGGCCTCAGCTCCACACTGATGGACGCTAGGCGAGTGTTCACCCACAAAGCTAGGCCCTAACCTTTCCCAACATACTTCTGATTTTTCTTTATGTGTTTAAGGGTGTATGCCTTTGAGTACAAGTGCCCACAGAGGGCAGAGGCGTCAAATGCCAGGAGCTGAAGTTTACGTGTCGTTGTGAGCGACGCTTGGAACTGAACTCCTGTCCTCTGCAAGAGCGGGACAACTCTTAAATCACTGGAGCAATGACTTTTAATCCCCAATTTGGAGTTACTTCAGCTGAGGCATTTTTATTTCATAAATGGTTAGGAGGTAGGTTCACACACCCAAGTCCCTAACATACTTAAACAGTGCTGAATTATAAACCCAGATATTTCAAATCTGAAGCACAATTAAAAGCTCCATTATGCTGGCTACATCTCAAGTGCCCATCACCATGAAGGCTAGGGGCTACCACCCTGGGAAGTGGAGGCAAAGAAATGATTTGTCTCAATGTCTCCACACAGCACCACAGCCTAGACCTTGTTCTAAGGGCAAACCCCAAGTCCCCTCAGAATTAGTCAGAGACTGGGAGTAGGAAGCAATGCAATGAGAGTCGAGAGCTGTACTGACGTGGACCCTGGAGAGGCACTGGCTTAGGACACTCACAGTCAAGTCTTCGGAGAACAGACTGAGCCCCAGTCCTGCCTCCCCATTAAAGCCAGAGGCCACAAAACCCTGCAGAATGCTGCGAGGTATGTCATTCAGGAGTTCAACTGCCCCAAAGGTGTCAGAAATCAGGGTTAAGAGCAAAACCGGCTTGGGGGGGGGGGGGAGAGATGGTCCCACGACATCCCTGACACCCAGTGGTCATCCGGATCAACCTAATGCTGGTATCTGTCATGGGGCACTCCAGACGTGCTCTCCCCTACGTGGGAATGGGCAGCTGGTGGGAGACCCTCTCCACTGCTCCTCCTGTCTGGGTTTCTGCTCCTCAAAGAAGAGCCCAAGAAGAAGGCCCCTGCCTGCTGCCACCAGAAAGTCCAGAGAAGGCTTCCCTTTCATGATGCTCTTCTTGGGAGTTAAAACTGGACCCACACTTGGGAGGCAGAGGCAGGTGGATCTCTGTGAGTTAAAGGCCAGCCTGGTCTACAGAGTGAGTTCCAGGACAGCTGGAGCTTCATGGTGAGACTCTGTCTCGAAGTGAAAACTGAAGCCGGGCATGAGGAGTCACGGCACGGCTAAGCTGGTTTCTTAAGTCCACTGTACCAAGTGCACATTCTCCCTCCACAGCAGCCCCAGCCTGGGACAGGAAAGGGTACCACACTGACTTGAGTTCTTGAGTGGACTGTGCCCCACAGACACCGCATTACAAAAGCCATGTAGGGAAGAATTCAGAGACATTAGCAGCTCTTTTCTGTTATAGGCCAGAATTTTCCAGAAATGGTATAGCACAGGCCAAAGCCACCACTAATGATGTTTACATAGGTCCTCAGCTCCTGAACTCAGCAGCTTGCTACAGGAACGTAACGCACCTCAAAGTTGCTGAACAGCCTCATTTCTTTTGTTAAATAATTTATGCACTGTGTGTGTGAAGTCCAATGAATCTCCAATGTCCCTCCTCAGGAAATGTCCACCCTGTTTTTTGAGGTGATGTCACTCTGGCCTGGAACTCCCCAATTAGGCCAGGCTGCTGGTTAGAGAGCCCCAGGGATTAGCCTGCCTCCACTCTACATTGGTAAGATTATAAGTGAGCACCAACCATATCTGGCTTTTTTAAAACATGAATTCTGGGAATAAACTAGTCCTCAGGCTTGTGAGGCAAGCGCTTTACCCCTTGAGTCATCTCTCTGCCCTAACTTGAACAGTCAATGGAGACTTTTCCATAAAGACTCAGGCAAGTGCTGGAGGCCAGGGTTAAAACCCAACAGAAAGGAGCTGGTGTGTGGCTCATGCTGTCACTTCACCGTCCGCCTGGAAAAGAAGAGAAAGAAGCGATAGGTCACCACACATCGGAACTGCCTAGAAGGAATCTGTCATGAAAAAGGGCCTTGGGGATCACTTGAGCCACTCTAGACACAGCCACTGTAGCTAGGCTTGGCCTTTCTTATGAAGGCATGCTGTGTCACATGTTTGAGAGACAATTTAGACCAGTACCTGAGTTGCTGGGCCAGCCAACTGATTCCCGATGGCTTCTGCTCAGGAGCGCTGGATGCTGAAGGCCTACAGAGAAAGTCAGACGTGTTTATTCGATCCTCTCACTGCATCAAAAAGCCCACTCACATCTATGCAGTTAGATGGTTGTGCTCCAGCCTGGATCACATACAAACAGCTTAAGAAAGTCAAGTGCAATTACAAAGTAACTTAGCTGTCCTCTGACCTCTGTAGATGCATGCTGTAGCATATATGTATCCTTACTCCCAAATAAAGATTAAAGACTAAGAGGTAACTTATGGGGCTGGCAGATGGTTCAGTGGAGAGTGCTTGCTGCACAAGCCTGAGGACCCATTTAACTCCCAGCACCATGAACGAGCCAGATGCTAGTGTGTGTCTGCAATCCCAGGGATCCTACAGGAATGTGAGGGGTGAAGGCAGCAACCTACAGGGAAACTCTCAGGCCAGTCAGCCCGGCACACACCACAGCAAACAAGAAGCTTTGTGTCAGACAAGGTGGAACTCAGGGACTAACATCCATGCACACCTGAGTGTATGCATGGGTAGGAGGTGGGCAGGGGTACACATAAATAAACACACACACACACACACATAAGTTATATTTCATTTTGACTCAGGAGTGAGTACAGACAGAAGTTTCTACTACTTCTAAAAATAGCAATAACAAGATGGGTGGTGGTGGCACACACCTTTAATCCCAGCACCCGGGAGGCAGAGGCAGGTGGATCTCTGTGAGTTCGAGGCCAGCCTGGTCTACAGCGCGAGTTCCAGGACAGGCTCCAAAACTACACAGAGAAACTCTGTCTTGAAAAAACAAACAACTCCCCCCCCCCCCAAAATAGCAATAAAGGATGACCTGTGCCTGTGCTCCCTTGCACAAAAGAAAAAAGAAATCCAACCCTACCACTCAGAAGGGACTTCATTTAGAGACAAGTCTGAGTTGACCAAACAGAGTCGTCTCAGCCCTCAACAACTGACTATGTCCTAATAGAGCAGGAGGCAGGATGCAGATGGGTGCTCAGGCAGACGACACCCAGACAAAGGCAGAGATGGGAGCAATGTGCCTACAAAGCCAGGCTCACCAGGGAGTACTGGGCAGACCAAAGATTGGGAGAAACTGGGAGAGGTGAGGCCTCTCAGAAGGAGCCAAACAGCTGCCAATTCTCTGTTCTCAGCCCATAAAAGAATAGATTCCTGATGTTATGGTATCCAGCATGCAGCAGCTGCAGAACTAACTTCATAGGACCCCAGCTCTGACTGAGAATCTAAGCTCCTGCGCACCAGCTTGGCGGCACCAGGAGTCTCGTGCTCACCTTCCCCTGCTGGCCGAGCTGCTCCCAGCTTGGCAGTTGTGGTCCAGAGGATGCCTGTGCTGAATGCAGAAGTTGCTATGGCATTGTGCACAAGCCAGCTGCAGCATCTCCTTCTTCCTGCATCCCTCTTTCGAGCATCGGTGTGTGAAAACCTGCAAGGATAAAGTCGCTTCTGTGAGCAGCTGTCACCAGCCCAGCCCAAATGGGCCCTGTCAGTTGGGCCCAGTGGCACAGGCCTGTGACTCTGTAAGCACTCAAAGAGACTGAGTTAGGAGAGAACTGACTCCACCTGTGTCCCAAGTCCCAAACACTCCCTCCTGACAATACACAGGCATACAAAGAAGCTTATGGTTGTGGCTTAGCAGCAGATTCATTCTCCAACGCTGCCCAATAAAAACAAAAGCAACAACAACAAAAGAAAAAAAAACCCTGAAGCTGAAAAGACGGCTCAGTGGGAAAGAGCACTTGTCAAGGCATAGAGATCAAAGGTTAGATCTCCAGCATCCATGTAAAAGTTGAGTATGGCTACATGTATATGCCTGCAACCCGGTCCTGTGAGGGACAGGAGTGAGTGAGTGAGTGAGTGAGTGAGAGTGTGTGTGTGTGTGTGTGTGTGTGTGTGTGTGTGTGTGCGCGCGCGCACGACTGAAACTTGCAGAAAGAAAACCAGGGCAGGAAAGGAGGCAAAGCAAGAGAGTGACAGCAGCTCCACAGGGGCCCCTGGCTCACGAGTTCTGGGGACAGTGGCTTATTTGGTTTTAACTCAGGTTTTCAGGCCTGTATGACAAGGTGGAAAGCTTTATCCACTGAGCTGCTCCCCGGCCTGTGTGTGCATGTATGTGTATACATGCATGTATGCACGTGTGTGTAAAAAAACTCTTCTAGAAGCTGTACAGCCGAAGTGTGTGTGTGTGTTTACTCTGGAAAATGGTGGGGCAGGCTGAGGCTGAACGTCAGAGAAAACAATAAGCAGGAGAAAAACACACGAGGAGCTCCCAGGGGAGGAGCAGCCGCGATGGGAGGGCTCCTAAGCCCGGAGCTCAGGCCCTGGGAAAGTGTGGCCTACAGAAGGCTGCTAAGGAAGGGCTCTGCAAGTGGTAAGGTTTTTCCCCTCGTGAAGTATCAACAAAACAGCACCCAAGAGGTTTCTCCAAAAGGAACAAGTCTAGAAAAGCAAACAACAAAAAGAGCGAGTCTTGATGGAGGAGGCCTATAATCCCAGCATTCAGACAGCTGAGGCAGAGGATCAAGAGTGAGCTTGACTAAGTCCCAAAAACAAGAAGGAAGGGAAGGAGGGGGAGGAAAGCCGGAGTGTAGGAGGAGGAAGAAAGGGAGAGGGAAAGGATGCAGCCAGATTTCGGAAGCTAAAGGCACGTGACCTGGAGCTGGCAGGTGAGACAAGACCCAGCTGTTAGCTGGAGGAAGCCTCAGAGCAAGCCTTCTGAGCAAACACAGCACAGGGCAGAAACAGGCGTTGGAGGTGGGGCTCAGCAGGCCCGCATCCCAGAGAGACCTGGTTGGATGGAGGCTGTGAGTCCCAATGGTGGGGCAGGATGGAGGCAGCTATGCCCGGCTCGAGGGCCACACAGTGCTCACTTGTGCTGTCCTCTGGGTGGCAGGGGAGAAACCTTCTCTGAGAAGTCCCATTATTCTCCAAGAAAACCCAAGACAGGTACACCCCCACCCCCAGGAGAGGACAGGTGACCCCTTCTTCTGACTCCAGGGGAGTGCAGAAAAGGAGAGAGTCAACAGAATGTTCTAGAAAGCCTTGCCCTCTTTCATCTCAGAAGAGACACTTGGGGACTCCTGAAGATGAGGACCTAAACGGGGACCCTTGTGAGACTTGGGAACTGTTCCCATGCAGCAAACTCCCCACTCACCACGCAGGAAGACCTCAGCTTCCCACTGCCTGGCGGCACTCCACACTTAGAAAAGACACCTTAGGGCTAAGATGTGGCTCAGTCTGTAGAGAGTTTGCCTAACAAGCACCATGTCCGGGGTTCGATCCCCAACACCACATAAAGCAGGCATGGGAGAGCATGATGTAATTCTAGTACTCAGGAGGAGCCAGTGGGATCAGGAGCTCAAGGTCATACTTGACTGCACAGCAATAGGAGGCCAGCCTGGGCTACGTCAGATGCTGTCTCCCCAAAGCAGCAGCAGCAGCAGCAGCAGCAGCAGCACTATGTTGTGTGTTAGCATGTGTTTCAGTCAGCGTGTGTGCCAGCCCTAACCCAGCTCTCACCTTCTTTTGGTTCTTCCCAGGGTGAAAGGTGCAGTCTCTGTCCATGTGCTCTCCAACCACCACATCTGGGATCTCACCTCTTTTCACAGGGATAGGGACATTACAGAGGGGACACACGGGCACCTGCACATCCTGAAATAATGAACACACAATGACACCAAGACTCCCACTCAAATGTCACACACACTCACACACAGAGGGTAAAATGTGTTTACCAGGGGAGCACACTGGTGAGGACAAGAAACTGTGCGGTAACAGGATGTCACCTACAGCATAAGAGTAAAGACCCAAGGAAGGCCACCGCCAGCTTTGAAGGGATCGGGGAGGTGCATGGCTGTGAGGGGGACCCACCTGACCCCTCAGAGCCACTGGCAGGAAGGGTCCCGGCAGCCGCTCTATGCAGCTGCCTCTCTGACCCTCAGTGGCTTTACCAGCAGGAAGAACGGCCTCGGCAGTGGACAGGCTACACCACACTGCTGTCTGTCGGTCACTGAGGGGGCTCTGGAGCGAGTGAAGGCAAAACTCTGAGCCAGGGCCACTGAGGGAGGGGTCCATGCCAGGGGGGGATGGGGCAGTTGACACCAGACGGAAACAGGGATCACAGGCATGTGTGGCCTGCTGTCTGCAGGAGGGCTGCCTCAGGTGGCTGATGTGCCCAACAAACAAAGCATTATTGTGTGATCTCCAGATAGACACATGGGCACAAGGAAAGGTCCAGATGACACACCAACAGGTGGTCACCTAGTCATCAGAACCTGGTAAACAGGAATGTGAGTCACCCACCCCACCCACCCCAGTGACTTGGCTGGACTGTGCCCAGCACTGTTTCAGGCATATGACAAAGTTACCCCCTGTCCATATGCCACCAGAGGAAGTGGCAGAATTCACTGACATAACCTGTGAGTCACCTCTGGGACAAAGTGAACCCATGGACTTGAGGGACCCGGGGTTCTAATAGGCATCTCCCAGTGTCTGCTGGACAGTGTGGAATCTCCTAGAAACTCCTGCTACAAAGACCCAAGGAACAAGAAACTTTTGACACCTGCTGTTCACTGGTGCAGGGGAATCCACAAGCCAAGTGTGTGAAGGTGAAGGGCCAACTGTGAAGGCTTGATTGTGGAGCACACACTGAGGGTGCAATCTGAGGGCTGGGAGACAGCCCAGGTGGTAGAGATACCCATGCAAGCACCAGGACCCAAGTTCTACTCCCAGCACGCACCTGAAAGCCAGGTTTGGTGAAATGTGCTGGCAATCCCAACACCGCGGAGTGGAGACATGAGGATCTCCGGGGCTTGCTAAACAGCCAGCTAACCTACTTGGTGAATTCTAGGCAGTGAGAGACTATCTCAGAAAACAGGGTGGATGGCATCTGAGGCTGTCCTCTCCTTGCCCTCAGACACAGCACAATTTGGCTGGGAGGGTGTAGACTTCCCCCATGGGCCTCAGGGGTCATTGCCTATAGCCGCAGTCCATCCACTGAACTAGCTCAGTCCTGACTTACACACACACACACACACACACACACACACACACACTATCTGGAGTCAGCACATCTGCACGCACAGGCTGCACAGGCAATCAAGGGCTCTCCTGACTTCCTGATTGTCCCAGAAGACTGTCACTGCTGACCCTCTGCACCCACCAGGGACAGACAGCTCAGAGTACAAATCACCAGTATCTATGTGAGTCCTTCCATACAGTCTTGTAGCAAGCAGAGACACTAAAAATTGGCCATCTCCCTCCACGGGTGTTTATTCCCTTACATGCAGAGTCTAAAGGGGCTGGGAAGATGGCTCAGAGACCCAAGTTCAGACTCTGGCATCCATGAAAGAGTTAGGTGCTTGCATTCAATTTTGTTGTTTTTATTTGTTTTGAGACAGGTTTTTCTGTGTAGCCCTGACTATCCTGGAATTCACTCCATAGACCAGGCTGGCCTTGAACTCAGAGATCCACCTGCCTCTGCCTCCCAAGTACTAGGATTAAAGGCGTGTGCTACCACTGTGCCTGGCTGGCAGTATGTACTTGTAATTCCAATGCCAGAAAGGCAGAGTTGTGGAGATCTTGAGGTTTGCTGGCCAGCCAATCAGGCCACTTGGTAAGCTCCAGATTCAATAACAGATCTTGTTTCAAAAAATGTGGATAGCAGCTGGGTGTAGTGGAGAACACCTTTAATCCCAGCACTTAGGAGGCAGAGACAGATGGATCTCTTATGAATTCAGGGTCAGCCTCACTGACAGAAAATTCTAAGCCATCAGAGCTACGAAGTGAGACCCTGTTTCAAAAACCGGAACTAAACAAGTAAATAATAGAAAAAAACCCAATTAATGTAAGCACCTGCTGTGGCTGGTATCCACTGTATAGATGTGAGGTATATTGCTATATTGCTAACCTGACCCCTGCATTCACTGAGAAGCTGGCTCTGGAAGCCATAATGCAACCCATCCCCACTCCATTTCAAGCTCAATCGTGTTTGTCTCAACACGTCCTCTAAGCCTTCTTGACCGGGGATGGGTCCGTCCCCTAACTGTGCCGGGGAGAAGAGAACGGCAATGCAGCCCAAGAGTAAAGCACCACGTCATGGAGAACAGCTAGAGGGGAAACGACTTCCCATATAGGGCCCGTTGCTTACCCCGTGACAGGACAGCGCCTGCAGTGGGAACAGGAAGCCAGAAGAACACAGCAACTGGGAGCTCCGGCTGCCTCCCTCATCCTCCCCAGTCTCTTCCTGCTGGATGTCCTAAGTGCCCAACTGGATGATGCTTTACTATTCACCTGCCCATCCACCATCTCCCCTTCTTCAGCTCTCTCTCGCTACTGACTCTTTTACCTCGGCTTGCTACACACTTAATAAACCCGCTCATTCGGAACTCAAAGCATGACTATCGCAGACTGTTCTCTGGCCTGCACAGAACAGGTGTGGTGCATGCAGTCCAGACTCCAGAGGATGAGTTACCTTCTTGAATGCAAGGGGACACTTATGACCCGCGTAGGAAAAATGGTCTTTACAGAAATCTCGTTTACACGCGTCACATGTTATTGGCAGAAAATCTAAAAAACAAAAATCAAGACGAAACAGTTTCTGAAAGATTGGAACCAAAGGATTACAGAGCAGTCAAAGCAGGAACATATCTACACTGGGATCCTCATTCCTTTCAGAGACATATACACCCTGAAGTGTGTGAGAGAAAACAACTTTGGGGAGAGGAAATTTAAAAAAAAAGAAAAAGAAAGAAAAAAGAAAAAAAAATGAGACAGTGGTGTTATTTAGCCCAGGCTGGCCCCGGAACTCACTGTGTAGCCTAGGAGGACCTTGAATGTGTGTTCCTCCTGCCTGTACCTCTCTCTCCAGTGCTGAGATTACAGACATGAGCCACCACACTGGTTTTACATGGTGCTGGGATGGAATCCAGAGCTTCGTACATGCTGGGCAAGGAGTTCTATCAACACAGCCACAACCCCAGTGCATGTAATAAGGCCAAGAGACACCAAAGGACCCACAAAGCTATCCTCTCAACACGGATTCCATCTCTGTGGTATCGCAACCACCCAAGCTGTATACTTTATCTGCATAGCCCTGGCAGCCATTGCCAGGTCTTAGGGGGATGCTGAACTACAGTGACGAAGAGACCCTGTGTCCTGCACTGGAGTCCTTATACTGAGAAGCCAAAGGCCGGGGCAGAGGCCAACTACTTAGTTAATAGTGTAATAGCCAGATGTCCCTCACAAAACAGCCAATGAAATATTGTTTCCTAGAAGGAACCCTCGAAAGTTCTTACCTAACTGCTTGCAAGTCGGTTCTGAACAGTGCTTCCCCAAGTCAGGAAACTCCATTATGAACACGGTGTCCAAAACACAGGTAGGTATTTAAGTATCCCTGTGGGAACTAGAATGAAGAGAATGAGGCCCCAAGTTAATCACCAGGACCTGTAACCTGCGGCCAATGAACACCAAGAGACTCCCTCTATGGGGAGCATGGGTTATCAGAATCATCCTGGGGCCATGGGAAAGACTGAAGTCTCACAAGCGCTCAAGACTTCAGCAGGGAGGCAAGTGGGAGTCTCTCCATAAATACCAAGTCTCTGTCGGAGACCCACACCCACGGTTGGAGGCGGCTTGCTGTCTAGACCTTTTAGATCCTAGTTTACAAGGCATGTCCCAGTCATGGGATTTCCAGGAAAGTCACATTTCAATGCACCCTGAGACTCCCAAGCCATGCTATGTGGTGCAGGCCTGTCATCCCAACCACTCTAAAGGCTGGGGCTAGAGAATCACACGAACTCTAGACCAGCCTGGACAGCTTTGGGAGACCAGATGTATCAGTTCCTCCCTTGTGTTGTGATAAAAAGAACCTTCAGGGAGAAAGGGCTTATTTTCGCTCAATTCCAGGTAATAGTCCCATCACTGTAAGGAAGTCAAGGTGGCAGGGACCTGAAACAGTCACGTCACATCCACAGTCAAGACCAGAGAGACATGAATAAATGCTTGCTCACTTGTTTGAGCACAACTCCATTTCTCCATTCTTATATAGTTCAGGCCCCCCTGCCTAGGGAATGATGCCACCCATAGTTTACTGGGTCTTCCCTAATCAATGAACTTGAAACTCCCCACCCAGCCCGAGACATGCCTACCAGCCAGCCCAATATAGACAGACAATCCTTCATTGAGACTTTCTTCCAGGTGCTTCTAAGTTGTGCCAGGTGGATAGTTAAAGCTAACAATCACACTCTGCTTAAAACACAAAAATAAAACAGTAGAAAGAGGGCCAGGGAGATAGTTCAACTGATAAACTGTTTCCCTTGTGAGCCTGGGCATTGAATTTCTATCTCTAGAGTTCCCATAAAAAAGTCAGGTACAGCTGGGCATGGTAGCACACGCCTTTAATATCAGTTACTTGAGAGGCAGAGGAGGGCATATCTCTGTGAGTTCAAGGCCAGTCTGATTTATGTAGCAGGTTCCAGGACAGTCACAGAGATACAGTCAGACCCAGTCTCAAAAAGAAAAAAAAAAGGAAAAAGTCAGGGGTAATGGTTAGCGACTGGAATCCTAGTGCGGAGGAGTCAGAGTCAGGATTCACTGATGGATCATCCTACTTCAAAAAAAAAAAAAAAAAGGCGGATGATGTCTGAGAGAGACACTGGGGTGCTTAGCTTAGTAACAGAATGTCTGCGTGGGAAGGGGGTGTTCCAGGCTCAATCCCCAGCCCTAGCAAAACCAAAACAAAGGTGGTGAGAAGGAGAAGGACTTTCCAGATTCAGCTCAGAGCTGCCACGGAAAAGTTCAGGTTGCAATTTCATCTCCCCAGTACACTTGTTGACATCAACAAGATTCTACTCCCAGGTGCTAAATGACATTAGTTGACTACACTCCCCAGAGCGGTGTGTCCCTTGCCTCTTACTCCCTTATGCACTGAGTTTTACCTTATGCTTGCTATTTAATGATTTAAGGCCAGAGCTCATCAGGGAAGGAGGCACGAGCCATTAATTACCCACATGAAACAGACAACTAAGAGACTGGCATCCTCAAGGCCAGGCTAAGTCTCTTCTATGTTCTGTCACTCATCAAATGGCTCAAAACTTTTGCATTCTCCAGAGTTCAAGTCCCCCAAACACCTTTTTACATCTTTTGACCATTTCCCCTCTCTAACCTCTTCCTTGCCTAGAACTCTCAGGCTTCAGTAAACATTTATTTGCCTTGCAAGGACCAATCTACAGTGCCGCCTTCTCGAACACCATCCGTACCACCTGCCAGCCTCCATTCACTACCTGCCCTCGTTCCTAGTGTGTTTAACTGCTTACTGTCGATTCTCATTCCTGTCGGCTAGAAAAACCTTTTGGCACCGTGCACAACAGAATCCACATTATGAAAGTTTTTTTTTTATTGAAAGCTACCATCACTTGATGCTATTACCAAATGACCATCGATTGTTTCTTTCTTTTTTTTTTTCTTTTTCCCATAGGGTTAGGGTAGTCTTTATTATGTAGTCCTGGCTGTCCTATAACTCACTTTGTAGCCCACGCTGACCATCAGTTCAGAAATCCGCCTATGTTTGTTTCCGGGAGCACTAGAATTAAAGGTGCAACCCGCCTCGTCTGGTACTAGACTGTTTTTTGACAAAGGATCTTCATTATTTAGCTCAAATTAGCCTGGAACTTGCGATCGAATGGCTCAACCTCCCCAGTGCTGAGACTACAGGCCTGCATTATCAGGCCTGGCTCACGGACACTGGCTCAGGACAGTTGACCTGGGGATGTAATATGTCACCGCGCTGAGACACCAGGCCCTGGTTCATTAGTCCTGTGACCCCCCACTTCCTCAGCAGCTCCTGTGATCCCGGTTCAGCGCGATCCACAATGACACACTGGTACCTGGCTCTCGTGGGTAGCCGGCGGCGGAGACAGACAGCGGTTTCCTTCGTGGTCAGCCCGGCGACACCGCAGTAGGAACTGCGGCTCCAATCCCCGCGTGCCACCCGCCTTCTCGCAAGGCCGGAAAGCGTAGCATTGCACCTGTTGCACCCAGGGCCATTTATTCTCAGCCAACATTTACAGAGTCACTCATCCTGGGCGTTCCCGGCGCTCTTCGATGACGCCATACTAATGCCAACCAATCCCGTAACCCCTAGGCTAGTCTCGCGGGCGCGCCCAAAAGTCACCGAAGCCCAGCCAGTCTCTTCCGCCGTGACGGCCCCGAGGGCCGCGCGCCGTGATGTCGTCACTCGCCGTGCGACCAATCTGACCGTTCCCCGTCTCGGCCCCACCTTGTCCTCCGCCTCTTTTCTGGAACGGTCGCGCATCATCTCTGGCCTGGGCTGAGTCATGGTGAGGCAGCTCTGGGCGAGGTAGCAGGCCTGTACCAGGAAGCCCGAGACAGGACTGGGCCGCGGGCGAGATTCTTGTGGCCCGGCAGTCCCTGTAGCAGTCCTGAGGTTCTGAGCTGCAGTATGCTCAGACTTGGTGGCCCGTCTGTGAAGCTGTAGGGATCCCAGGACTGGGGGAGAGACGGAACACCTGTGCTATGCCTTGGAAGTGAGATCCGGTCTAGAGATGGATTACAAGATGGCACCCAAGATGCCTGTGTCTTAGCAGGGTGGTTGGAACATCTTCGCCCTATGCATGTGGTTTAGGCCAGATGTTGAAGTGGTGGTGATCCAAGCTCTTGATTTCAAAGGCCTATGAGTTGGGCTAACAGACCCAGATTACTACATCTCTGTCTTGGTTATTTTTATTTATTTGTTTATTTTTGTCAACTTGACATAAGGTAGTTATGTGAGAAGAAGGGACCACAGTTGAGAAAATACTAATATAAGATTGGCCTAGGGAGCATTTTTAAATTAGTGATTAGTGCGGAGTAATTATGAGTAGTGCCACCAATGGACTGGTTGTCCTAGGTTCTATAAGAAAGCAAAAGCAAGCCGTGCAGTGGTGTCTCATGCTTTTAATCCTAGCTCTCGGGAGGCAGAGGCAGGCAGATCTCTCAGTTCATGGCCAGCCTGGTCTACATTGCAAGTACCCGGGCAGCCAGGGATACACAGAAACCATCTCAAGAGAAAAAAAAAAAAAAGGTGGAACAAGCCAATAAGTAGTGGTCCTCCACAGTTTCTGCTTCAGTTCCCACCCTGACTTCCTCAGTGATGAACTGTTCACCTGGAAGTGTACAATGAAATAAACCTTTTCCTTCCAGAGTTGCTTTTGGTTGTGGTTGTCATGGGCAAAGATCCCAAAAACCAGAGTCGGGAATTTGAGAGTCTTTATTAAGCTGGCCAGCAACCAACTGCCCGGAGAGAAAGAGTTCTCACAGAGCAGCCCCAGCTGCTTTCTGCGGGGAGCTTAAAACAGGTAAAAACAGTGTTGTGGTTAACATTGCAGGGGAAGAAGAGCAAGCAGTTTCACAGAAGCAAAAAGCAGCAATTAACCAGGGCATCTTGACCTCAGTCCCTGAGACAGGGTTGGGTATTTCCTGAGGAATTTTCCCATAGGAGGGAGTGTAAACAGAGTCAGCTCTGAGTCTGACCTTACATAGCTGCAGCAGGGACAAGATGGAGGAACGCTGTCCCTGTCACGGTGTTCTTTTATCATAGCAATAGAAACCCTAAGACCAGCTGCCAAGTCTTGAAACAGAGATTTAGGGCTCCAGGTGCTGAGGCTAGAGACTTGTGGCCTTAACTGAAGTTTCCTGTTCTGGGCTCGGATTGCCAGTGGGCAGGTGATGCAATCCTCCTCTCTAAGTGGCAGCTAGCAGCCACAGGCAGCGTTTGAGCTTTGCCCATGTCCAAAACCACAGTCCTCACCTCAGAGATGAGGGACTTTGGCACAGGAATAGATTCTGTTTACCTCAGGTATCTTGTTCTGATGTAGTAGAAGTTTTACAGAGTTTTTATAGTAACAGGCCAAAGAAAATGATAAGTGAAGATATTTAAAATGCCTTGGTGGAAACCTCAGGTGGATTACAGCAAGAGGGGAGGCCTCTGTTACAGGCCTCAGATGCTATCTGAAGGCATTCGCAGCCTCTGGGTTGGTGGAAGCCAGGTCTGTTTGTGCATTCCAAAAGTATTTACCTAACAGTTGCAAAAGATGTTAGGTCACACGTGCACTGATGGGCAGAGGTGGCTAATTGAGGAGCTAAAGCTCTCCAGCCCAAGATAACATGGTTCTGGGATCTGTAACATTCCAACTCTGAAAGCAGTGAGGCCGTAATCAGCCTGTAGAATGTGTAACAGTGGTGTGGCTTTCCCCCAGGTTTTGGCGTTTTAACGCCACTACGGCCCATCCCTTTACTAGTAAAGCTGGGTTGTTTTGCTCTACCCATGATGAGTAGGCAAGGAGAAGTGTATTTAGTTTTGAAGACCTGTACCCTTAAGTGCCAAAGGCTGGCTTCTAGGCTGTGCTGACAGACGTAGAGCCTCCCAGCTGCAAGCCCTGAGCATAGGAACCTATGGCCGCAGGTGCTTGGGGTTAGAGGTTCTAGGTTTGCACTCAGCTACTGGTGTTAGACTCTTAGGTGTCTCAGAGTTGCCCTGGGTATCATGACCCTCACCTGGCAGCTGGCAGCATTAGCCCTGTAACCAAGGGTATCTTGCCAGCTTCCTGGAGTACTGCAGGTAATGGGCCTGTGTGTGTTTCTCTGACTTTGGCTGCTTCTGTTTTCTTCTTTCTTCATTCTTGGCACTCCGCTCTCATCTCCCCTCTGTTGCGTTCCCTGCTCTGTGCCGCTCTACAGCTCCTGCGCACTCTGAACCTCCTCACCCCCTCTCTAGCCGTTTCTCATCATGTTACCAGCTTGATCCTCTCAAAAGCAGGCAAGGGGAACTGGAGAAATGGCCTGTCAGTATGGTGCTTGCTGTGGAAGTATGAGGAGCAAACTGGATCAGAACCCGTGTAAAAAGCTGGGAGTGGTTGTGCAGCCTGTAATTCCAGTGCCGGGAAGGCACAGCCCCTGGGGGCTTGCTGGCCACCTAGTCTAGCTGAAAACATTGGACTCCACATTCAGTGAGGAATTCTGTCTCAAAACAAGGTAGAAAGCAGGAGGTAAAGGCATCTGATGTTGACCTCGTGTGTGTGTGTGTGTCTACGTGTGTGTGTGTGTGTGCGCGCGCGCACGCATGTGCATGTGCACCACAGATGACCTGAAGATAGGTGTGGGAGGGGAAACACATGAGAGAGAAGGGAACCTGAGGGAGTCAAGGAAGAGATTTAGGTGTGCTCTTGAGGGGGAAGTCCAGCCAGGTGGTCCATAGAGCCCCATTCTCTGCAAATCCAGGAAGACTGAAAATCCCTCCAGATGTGTGGAAGAAGGATGTTTGTGGCCAGGATAGACTGTGCCATACATGTTATAGAAACCAACAAAATTAGTTTTTTTTTTCTTTTAATAGTACCTGGGATGGAACTTGGTCTATTTCTGCTCCCATTCTTCAGGTGAGCTCTGTCAGCTTCCATCCTCTCCTCTGACCCTTGGAACAGTGGAAAGCACACTCAACAGCATCCCTGACCCCCTTGGCTCTGGAAGCCCCACTCTATCAACTGATGACACCCTCGGCTTGCAGCTTCAGCCTGTGACTGCTACTCAGAGTTCATTACCACACCCAGCTATGGTCCTGGGATGTGTCTGGTAGGGGACTAGTGACACCTGATGCGCTGTGAACGTGGTCCTGGGATGTGTCTGGTAGAGGAGGATTAGTGACACCTGATGCGCTGTAAACTGACACAGCAAGGGCCAGGGAAGTAACTCAGTTGGGTTCAAAGCCCCAGAACCCACAAGAGGTCAGCCATAGTAACACACATCTAGATTCTCAGTGTTCCTCTGGTGAGAGGAGATGTGAAAAAAAGAATCTCGGGAATTTCCCAGAGCTTGAAGGCCAGCTAGTACAGCATTGAGCAAAAGACCCTCTCTCGAGGTAGAAGGCAAAGCTTGACACCTGATGTCGTCCTCTGCCCTCTACGTGCATTCCATGGCGGCATGCAGACGTCTGCACTCACACACATGAACAATACATACACCTGCCCAAAGCATACCATGGGCTAGGGATGTGGCTTAGTTGACAGAGTGCTTACCTAACTTGCATGAATCTTTGAAGGACTGAATAAACTGGACGTGATGGTGCATGTCTATAATCTCAGTATGAAGGTGGTACAGGTAGGAGGGTCAGTTCAAGGCCATCATCTGCTAAATGGGGAGTTCTAGGCTACCAGGAGACTCAGAAACAAGACTGTAGACGTAGGTGCCAAGGATGGAGGACAGGTGAACAGTTCAGTGCGCTCTTTACATGGTTTCTCTTGTATCTGCTCTATGTGAATGATGTCATTCCCAGAAATATCTAGACCACAAGGCCCCTGAGGATGGGGACTGTGCCCTTGAACTGTGTGTATGATGCTTACATCTGAGGTGGCATCTGGGATTTATTACAAGAATACAGGGAAGAGGTAAAAACAAAAAACAAAAACCCCAAAAACAACAACAAACCTGCCTGGATTTCAGGCAGCTACATGATTAAGATAGGTGTCTATTTAGACAGAATCTTACTACGTAGCCTAGGCAGGACTGGAACTCACAGTGACTTCCCAAGGACAGGGACTGCAGATGTGCGTCACCAAGCCAGTCACTACCCCGATTCTTTAAGTTCTCGTGGCCAGACGAGTGTTAAAGAGAGTTAAAGGTGCTTCTGCACCTTGGTTCTGTCTTAAAGCTCCTGCTCTGCACCCCCACACCCCCAAACTCCAATACTGGGCATTGAACCAGGGCCATAGACATGCTCGGCCAGTGCTGTTAACCCCTTCCCTCACAGGAATCCTAGGGATCCAGCTCTACCCCGAACCTCGCCTCCAGCACCTCAGTGGGGGATTCTGAGCAGGTGTTCTACCACTGAGCCCCACTCCTAGCCCTTACTTTTATGTTTTACTTTGATACATGGTCTCACTGTGTAGACCAGGGTGACCTTACAATGATGATCCTCCTGCCTCAGCCTGTTGGCTGAGTGCTAGACTGACAGGCCTGCACCACCCCCTAGCTATGTCACGTCTCAGGTCTCCAACGGTAATATATTTATGCCCACTTGCAGCTGATGACTTCCCAGACAAAAATTGTGTGA